TTTTCCGTATAACAGTTTCTACGAGCCATTTGCGTGACTGCTATTCAAGGAAAGAACGTGCGCTGAGTGTGTGAGGGGACAATCTAGCACCGCCAGCATATTCCGAATGATTGAGCTTGCCATGCTTTACTTGCCTCAGGTGTTATCTATACGTAGACCTAGGAGGTTGGCGGTCCCAGATAATTCCACCCAAGTTGCCTCTGCTTCAAAGGTTAGGCGGTTTCAGACTTTGCGACTGACGTAGCGAATCGCGCGATTCTCCAGCGATTGATCGCAGAGTCTGACACCTGCCTTGGACTGTCTCTCTTTCTGTTGAGCCTTCGTTTTTTTTACAAAGTGTTGCTGAAAAATCGTGTTCAAAGACTGTTTATTTTCAGGGTGTCGATCGTAAGAAATTGACCGGTACCATTCAAAATGATATTTTGAAAGAGTTCATGGTACGTAACACCTACATCTATCCGCCAGAGCCATCGATGAGAATTATTGGTCAGCAACAAATTTTTGGAATAAACATGGAATCGATCGATACGTATCTTTGTTACAGGAGACATCTTTGCTTACACAAGTAAAGAAATGCCCAAATGGAACAGCATTTCCATTTCTGGATACCATATGCAGGTGAGCATTAGTGGAGCACTGGTGGTTCTATGATCTCTGACCCGAGTTCCGAAGTCAAATCGCCTAGTGGCTTTCTCATAACTTTTTCCGTCCAGCTTGAGCTCTTTCCAAACTGCTCTCTTGCCTATTTCCTGAACTGTCTGTTTTCTAAGTCTATTTTTTAATCGTTGGATTCCTATTCACATGGAACTGGAAAGTTAGACTTTTTTTCCAAACTTTTTTTTCTCATTCCACCCTATACTTCCATGCTTTTCTTTCCACCCCATCTATTTGGACCATTTTCTTTGTAGTTTCTTTTGGAATATTTGACTGAGGTTGTTCGAATACTGTGGAGTGAAAATGAAGGTAATAAAAGTTCTGTTATAGGAAGCAGGTGCTGATGCAGTTTTGGAGATGGCGTTCACCATCGCCGATGGCATCCAGTACTGCGAAACGGGAATCAACGCAGGTCTCACCATCGATGAGTTCGCTCCTCGTCTCAGCTTCTTCTGGGGCATTGGAATGAACTTCTACATGGTGCGTGAGATTATTCCGACACTTTTTCCTTTGAACGTTACAGTTTCTTTGTGGTTAAAACCTCATTTCTACTACCCGTCAGTAATGCCTTCTGCTTAGGAAATAGCCAAAATGCGAGCCGCTCGACGTCTGTGGGCTGACCTTATCAAGGAACGCTTCAGTCCAAAGAGCAGCAAATCGCTTATGCTCCGCACTCACTCGCAAACCAGCGGATGGTCTCTGACTGAACAGGTAGGAGCGGATCACCTCAGTAAACCTACTGACTGAAATTTTGATTTGCAGGATCCATACAATAACATTATTCGAACCACTATCGAAGCCATGGCGTCAGTGTTTGGTGGAACTCAATCGCTGCACACCAACTCCTTCGACGAGGCCCTCGGTCTGCCCACGAAATTCTCGGCTCGAAACACACAAATCATCATCCAAGAAGAGAGCGGTATTTGCAAGGTAAGCGCCAACGTCTGGCTTAAATGCAGCTCTGAAAGCAGTTCATCCAATAGGTGTGCACCAGCGTAGCCCTGTGTAGGCACTCATGCGCAGTTTTTTGGTCAAAGGCACAACCCAGACAGAAGTCGGGTGAACGTTCTCCCCAGTCTGTAGGATGGAGCCCTCGAGCACAATCATGGAAATGGCACTCCAGGCATGGAAATGGCCTGACAAAGGCGCTAGAGCTTCACGAAGACAGCTTCAACAGCTTCAATTTTCCCTCGTTCGCACCAAGCTGCTGCCCTCTCATCTGCAACCCTCCTCGCCAATACTCTCCTCTTCGCGCCCCGTCTCTATTGTGTTTCCAACTATAACGCCTTAGGGCAAGCGCTCAGACTTAAAGGAGGAATTCACGATTAGAAAAGGAGGAAGGAGGAAGAAGTAATTGACCTAGTTGAGGGACCCACGGACCTCCTGAGGGTGCGAACTGATGCGCAATTCGCATGGAAAAATTTGACCTCGGCGACCTATTATGCCTCAAAGTTGGCGGGTCTGGCGATCTCCGCCCACCGACCAGCTGATCACTCGCCGCAGTCTATACGTGGGATTGATTAGATAGCAGAGAGAGCGTGATGTTGAGGAGGGCACAGCGATAAGAGTCGCATCAATGCGCAAATCAGCGGGGAAGGAAGGGGTCCATTTCTCGGGTTCTGGGCCGTTTCTCATGGTTCTTCCTTCTTTCGTGTACCAATCACCATCCCTAAGTTAATTTGAAATGGGTTGCTTTCCAGCGTGAATTCGTCCTTTAAGATTTCGTCGAAACTCTTTGAATATTTGCTTCACCGCGAGGTCCCACGCACCAATGATTTCCATGATTGTAAATGAAGAACCCCACCAGTTTGATTGTGAACTGCCTTAAGGTCTTAAGTTTCAGGTCGCGGATCCATGGGGAGGTTCGTACATGATGGAGTCGCTAACAGATGAAATCTATGATAAGGCGCGAAAGGTATGTATTCTTTTTTCTGTTATATTTCACTTATTTATCTAACTTTTCTTCAAAAGTTGTTGACTATAGCTACCATTTACCACACATACTTTACGAAAAATATGCCGAAGTTCCATACCATGTTTACTTGTAGGGTGCTAGATGTTCGCATAGTCAAAAATAGGATATCGATTGGCTTACTCACGTGACCGGTCCTGAATGACCATCTGCAATCGTTTGACTGATCGATACGTATTTCATGTGAAACCCATTTTTACTCAAAGTGCATCTTGAGCTTATTTTTACTGAATTGCTATGCCCCGAAGTTAATTTCCTGCGCCATATGGGCGTTGAGTAAGCTCTTGAGGAGTATTACTACTCGGCTAGAGATCTCAGTTAGACGCAGCTCTAAAGCTGATTACGGAATAGGGAGAACAAGGCTTCGTGAACCAGAAGTCACTCGTTTTGTCATGTTTTGTCGCGCTATAGTTTTCATAGCCATTTTCAGGTATCGAAATTATGAACATAGTTTGTGAGCTCTGGCATACTAAACTGAGACTCGAGACTCGCTCCAAACAAGCCGAATCGAAATACAATACAGGACGTCATCGTCGAAATATATGACAAGTACCACACCATTGACCCAGTTAGCATAACTTTAGATCATATAGAGGAAGTGGAAATTTGAATGACATATTCGAAATGTGCCCACGTACGTCCAACCATATACTAAGAGAGAGAGAGAGAGAGAGAGTTTTATCAATGTCAGGAACACGTCAGTAGTTTGTGACAAGGGATTAGGTCGTTGATTGTAGAGGGGTTGAAACCCTTGCAAGCTTGGGTGTAGAATGTGTGGTTTCAACAGCTCTACCTGGAGCCTTCCACGCGGAAACGCGTCTTTCCAATTTTTTCCTCAGTTACGGTGACCATGGGCTCACTGCCCATATCGTCGTAAGGCTGCCTGAATAAAAAAAGTGGGCTACCTTAAGTAATTTTTAGGAGACGAAAGTCGATGTGCTTCACGTTGATAACCAGAAAGTACGTGAGCAACAAATTGCCAAGCTGGAACACATTCGCAAGACCAGGGACCCGCAGAGAGCTAAGGCAGCCCTCGAAGCGATCACTGAGGTAGGTCGCAGCGTTCGCCTCAAATTTCCACAGCAAAATGAAATGTGTTAAGGGAGCTGCTGGCAATGGAAACCTCATGGCTTTGGCTATTGAAGCGTCTCGCGCTCGATGCACTGTTGGTGAAATTAGCGACGCCATGGAGAAAGTCTTCACCCGGTGAGAACTACTAATTTGTTTTGTTTTAGCGCAAATGGTGAACTCAGAAAAGCCTGGGTGTTTGATCGAACCTTGCAGAGGAAAGGTGAAGTTGAATGCTTCTATCACCTAGAAAAGCTAGCTAGAAGGAAAGAAAAGATAGCTAGAAGGCGCTACGTTTTGACGTCGTCCTTCAATGTTATGGTGGAGGGGGTAGGGACACTAAGAGCCGGTTCCAACCACACCCTCAACATGGTGGGTGATCTTATCCACCAATGGCATCATCAAAATCGTACCGCCGTCCATCGTGATCACTGCCTTTAAATCCTCGAGTCCTCTCATTTCCAGCGGAGCAATGTATTTTACCACTGGCCTTTAAGCCGAAGTGCAGCTGTAAAGTTGAATCGTTGTTTCAATCGCGCTAAATGTATAGTTCTGCTGGAGTGAAGAGATCAGTACCCATGGAAGGTAGCACTCCTTTCAGATATGCTGCTGTCAACAAAATGGTGTCAGGTGCCTACAAATCAGAATTCGGAGAAACGGACGAGCTCGCTCAGGTGACCTTTTGGTGTTCTTCAGCCACATTCTCGTAATAGGCCAAAAACTAATAGAATATGTTTGAGGTTATGGAACGTGTGAAGCTTTTGCTGCGAAGGAAGGTCGTCAACCGCGCCTCATGGTAGCCAAGATGGGTCAAGATGGCCATGATCGTGGCGCTAAGGTTGTCGCTACCGGATTTGCAGATCTTGGTGAGTCCATGAGTGTTTTGAGTGCTGTGTTATGGACTGTGAATTTTGAAAGGGTTACTTCAGACGGCTACTTGTGCTCCTCCTTTTTCCCCTCAAATACACGGTTTGAATTAAGACCTTTTTGGAAACTACTATAGAAAAGAATTGCCTCTGTCGTTTCAAGGTGCTTTTGCCTCGTTATATTGTACAGTGGTTACTTAAAGCAACAACCCCAGATGGATCCATACTGCTAAAGCCGTGAAAAGATGTGGGTGCCCTAGTCGATAGGATATGAAGTGTCGCTGAAGCAAAAATTCACCTTAACAAGCCGCTATGGGAAGTTGGATAGGTGCCAATTTTGGTCCTGTCTACCATTTTGCCCATTTGCTAGCCGTGGAGATTGCGTGATAGGCTGCGTGGACATGTGCGACTGTTTGGGAACTGGTTGATCTCGGTCCTTTAAACCCTCACTGTGATGCTCCCGCCCGCGGAGCGAGTAAGTTCGCAAAACTCGTCCGGCCCCGCCCCTTTGTTACTTGGAGGGAGTGCAGAGGAAGGCCTTGTTTGAAGGACTTCATCGGACGGTTTCTTTGCTTTTTTTTCATTTTTGGTCAACTCGGCATCCGCAATTTCATTATCGACCGCTTTTACCTCACAAATTCGATCTGGAGTTGTTGCTTTAAAGACATGATTTTCAAGTTTTATGGAATAGTTTTTTCCAGGATTTGACGTAGACGTCGGACCGTTGTTCCAAACCCCGGCCGAAGCTGCCCAGCAAGCTGTCGACGCAGACGTTCATGTGATCGGAGCGAGCAGTCTGGCTGCCGGACATCTAACCTCTTGTGCCTCAATTGGTTCAGGAACTCGCCAAGCTGGGAAGAGAGTGAGTGGGACTTCCCACCGGAAGATCCACTAGAAAAGAACAAGCATCAATTTTGCGTGATTTTAGGGACATCCTTGTAGTTGTCGGTGGTGTGATTCCTCCACAGGATTACGATGCCCTCTATAAGGCCGGTGCTGCTCTGATCTTCGGACCTGGAACAAGACTACCAGCTTGCGCCAATCAGGTTTGTTCGTTTTCACCTTATGCCTCTGAGTCGACTGCTGGCCTTCGAGGGATTCGTAGCTACCGAATGCTGCTGGTCGTAATCTCCGTGATTCAGGTGCTTGACAAGCTCGAAGCCGGTCCGGAAAAGCAGGCCGCCAAGTCATAACTTCGGGAGTGTGAATAGCTGACGCAACGATTCTCGTGTGTAGATATAATAAGATTATGTGAGACATCCTCACTGTCTGAGTCAATTTGTTACTTGTGTGAACGGGAATTTCGGTAGCTGTTTAAAATAGATGAAATAGTTTTGCAGAACATTCAGTATGGTTCCAGTAGTCGTCTGTTGTAGTTTTGATGAATAATTGTTGCATTCATACCGATTCATTGTCGACAATACGAGTTTACCATCCGTTCGCCACATTATTGCATATAAATAATAAGTTCTTCATTTATGCCAAAATAAAGTACATCGTAAAGTAAAAGTGAACACTGCAAGGCAGCATTCATAGTTCGCGTATATACAATGGAGGCGATTGGGCGATCAGGCGAGTATTCAGGAAAAAAAATTATTCAGGCGACTGAGAAATCGTTCAGTCTGCGACGCAAACCAATCGATACGTTATGCAATTTTACTCGCTTATCGCCTAATCGCTTATACCGGTCGTGAAGTATGAACGCTGTCAAAGTCATTAATAGGGAATTTGTCTGTTTTGATGACGAAGGTAAGGTAAGGTTGTTAAGAATCGCTACAAGGCCGCATCTATAATCCATTTTATGGGGAAAAACATTTTAAATGACGAAAACTGAAAAGTTACGGTAGCGCGACGAACTGTCAGCCAAAACACTTTAGCCATGATTTCTTTTAAATAACTAGACGGTCTGGAAGTTCTAACACATTCTACCGGTATATTTCCATATAGTTGCTACCAGTTGGCGCCGCACGCATTGCGCGCGCAACACAGATCTGCTGCGAATTTGATGGTGCGACGAAAATTTTCATATTTGGCTTGATACACTACGAATATCTGAATTCTCAGCTAAATTCTATCCGCTCCATCATCGACGGCTTTCAACCTTTTTCTTCGTCAACCATTATCCTCTTTTTCCGGTCTCCGGACTGCTTCCGGACAATAAATCTCGTGGCAAACTCCGCCTACTTCGGTGCGTGCCCGCCCACCAATAGCATTTGGCCCCCTTCCTTTCGCCGACCTCTACCCCTTTTTTCACCGGTCTCTGGGACCTCTTGGAACCAAATTACGACACTTTTGGCAAACTCCGCCCAATTATGTGCATGCTCCGCCCACTAATAGCAGTTGACCTCCTTTCCTTTGCCGGCCTCTACTCCCTTTCTCCCGGCCTCCGGGACTTGTTGGAGCCGAGTTTTATATTTTCGTCGCAGACTCCGCCCACTTTGGCCAAGCCCCGCCCACCGATGACAGTTAACCTCCACTCCTCCACCCACCTCTATCCACCTTTTCCCAGCCTCCGGAGCTTCATGGAGCCGATTTTCGTCGCAAACTCCGCCCACTTTGGTCAGGCCCCGCCCACCAATGACAGTTAACCTCCACTCCTCCACCCACCTCTATCCACCTTTTCCCCAGCCTCCGGAGCTTCATGGAGCCGAGTTATAAATTTTCGTCGCAAACTCCGCCCACTTTGGCCAGGCCCCGCCCACCAATGACAGTTAACCTCCACTCCTCCACCCATACTCTATCGCCTTTTCCCACAGCCTCCGAGAGCTTAATGAGCGAATTTCGTCCGCCGAAACGCCCACTTTGGCCAAGCCCCGCCCACACCAATGACAATTAACCTCCACTCCTCCACCCACCTCCATCCACCTTTTCCCCGGCCTCCGGAGCTTCATGGAGCCGAGTTATGAATTTTCGTCGCAAACTCCGCCCACTTTGGTCAAGCCCCGCCCACCATTGACAGCTGGCCTCCACTCCTCCATACACCTCTATCCACCTTTTTCCGGCTCTTTAAGACTTCCCCGACCCGAATTATGAGGGCTTGTAGAAAATGCTGTACACTTCAGAGCGCGCCCCGCCCATTCTGGGCAGGCCTCCGCCCACGTCATGTATGCGGGAAACACCTTAGACATTGCTCCCTTACACCAAATTGTTTTCTGCTCTGTAGGCTTTCTCCCAACCGAGTTATGAAATTTTTCATAAAGCACTGCTTTTTTAGAAAACGCCCCGCCAACCGGGGGTGGCGTTGACA